AAAGTAAAATTCACGGTTAGTTTTTGAAGTTTTTTTTTTTATTTTCATTCCAAATCAGTAACATACAAGTCGCGCAATATTTTAAATGTGTGTGCATTAACAACGAAGACAACTATTGCCACCTTTTGGATTGCACTCATAACAAAATCAATTACGACATTTAAACTTTCACCTTCCTCTTTTACAAGCTCATTTTTCTTTCCTAATTAAAATTAATTCATTTTTTTCCTTCCCCTTTCACTCATTCATATGAGATAAATAGACGATTGAAATGATCAATGGAGGAAAAAAAAAAGATGTATGAACCAACCAATCAGGAAACTTTTTTGAGAGATACACTTTGAGAGATAGTATGGCGGTGATTGTTCGCATGATATCACCGCCATATCATCATTCTCAAAATATCTCTTACATGAAAAGATAATAATAAAAATAATTGAGCAAACAATTCACATTATAATTATAATAATTCTTACATGCTCAATTACTTCTCCTTATCAGTAATTAATAAAAATCATTTCATACTGAATTTGAATTTTTTTTTTCAAATGTTTCAATTATTGCTTCAAATGTTACAGTGATATAAAATGTAACAAAGGGGATAAACAAAATGTAACATCTTTTTTTTTTTTTTTTGGTAAGATATTGTGTATTATATGAAAGATAAGGGGTAAAGGTCAATGGATTGAAGAGATGTCAAAGATTGCAAAGATTAAAGCCCCATTCCGAACAATAATTAGCAAATGTTCACAATGTTAAATGAAAGGCGGATTTTATCTGAAAGCTTTCTCTTCCAACAACTGTTCGTATAGCTGTTTTGAACAAAAAAAAAAAAAAAAGAATGGGAAAGGACCATTGGCAAAGAAGAATGGGTGCATCTCAATTTTCATTCTCTCTTATCTTTCCACTTTTTTTTTTCATTTTTTACACTAATCTTTGCTTGTCGATTTTTCATTAAAAGTTTTCTCAATTCTTTCCCTGAAAATCAATACCAAATCAATGTAATAGAGAAAAATGTGATATCTGAATTGCAATTTGATCTAGGATAATTTTAATCATTTCTGTTCATATGTTTTAGGATAATTTAGCATATTTGCAATCCCTTGAAACGTTCACATTCAATATTATAAATCCGCATCATCGTTATCAATTATTGTCATCAATGAATAAATATTTAAATGAAATATATCGAATAGATGGTTATTTGATAGTCTCAAATTCGATATTTTCATTCGCTGATATCAGAATGAGATTAAAGAACATTTTAGCATAACAATTATTATGTGCATAACAATTAAGATGAAATTTACGATAATATGAAATATTAGGACAGCATTGATGGAAAACAACCCAATTTGAAATGATATAACCTTTTCATGCTCTTTTCACGTTTATGAAACATTTCTAGCACTTTTTCGTTTTTCATATTTCTCATTTCTATTTAAAAAAAGAAAAAATAGTTTTTTTCATTAAAAGTTTCGTTGAACATTCTCTTTTCATAGATCTTTTAAAAATTTAGGCATTGTGTAATTTTTTCTTTATTATTCATCCACGTTTGCTAGAAGTATTCATGTAAATTTGGCAAATATTTTTCTTTCTTTTTTTTTTTAACAATTAGCAGTCTGTTTAAAATTTCTAATATTTTGGTAGAGATAGAGGGAAGAATTCAAAATTTCGATCAAGTTTAAAATATTATAAGCATTTGAACAGCTATTTTTAAAGATTAACCTTATAAAAAGTGTAATTATTTTTGTGTAAATTTTTTTTTTTGCAATATTAAAATAAGATTAATATGCAATGAAACTTCAATATTTAGAATCATTTCTTTTCCTTCCATTCATTCACATTTATCAATCAAATGTTTTTAATTTTATTAAATGCAAACGATTTATATTTGATGAGTATTGTCAACTTTTCAGTTTTATTGTTTAGTTTGTTGTTTCACATCTTATCGGTCCAAGTTTGTTTCCTCCTATCTTACCGTAATTTTTGATTTTTATTTTTTTTAAATTCAATTATAAAAAGATTATCAAGAATGTAAGAGGGAGAAAAACAGATATCATTCATTATTGATTCTTCATCCATGATATTTCAGTTCAGACTAATAGAATTGTGAACCTTTAAATCGATATGTGGTCAAATAATAGCAACAGAATGGTATAGAATGACCTCTGCTGATTGACATATGTCTGTCCTGTCCGTGTATTGTTGATTTCGATAGATTTTGTGAAAAGGAAAAAAAGTAGACAAAACAAACGAGTTACAAGTATAGACAAAAATTAAATTCTGAAAAAAATTCATTCGCCATCTTCTATGAAATCTTTATTTCTAAATTTTTTTTTTTTATATTTCAATTGAAGCGCAAAAATTCTTCTTGCTTTTTAAATATGTTTATTTATTTTCCTGCTCGGATTACATCAGTTGTTTTGATTTTCATGCCAATATCACCTGTATAAATGTTCTACAGACAAGCCGTCATTTGGCTGCTCTCAAGTAAATAAACTGACAAATTAAAATTGACTAATATTTATTAAAATCTTGAAAAATATTGATCATAATAGGAATTTTTGTAATCTTTCTGGAAAAATTACAAGAGTTCCTGTTGCTAGGAAGAACATTTTTTTTTTTTCAAAATGAATTTTAGCGGATTTACTCTTGAGGATTAATATCATCAAACGTGAAATCTTGAATATTTGAAATTCACGAATATATCTAGTAAATATTTAAAGCTTTTTCAAGAGATATGCTATTAGTTAGATGAAAGAAATCACACAAAAAAAAAGGCCACTTATTGTAATTAGTTAAATAACTTCAACAAGTTATTTCAATATAAATTTATTTTGTAAACAAATATTAAAAAAGTCTATTTTATCGTTACCTTTCTTTTTTCGAGGAAAATTAAATCCGGCATTATCATAATCACTGCTAAAGATTATTCCTAACAAATATTATGATTAATTATTCGTTTTTCGATTATTAGACAAACATATATGAATGATATTAGACAGAGTCGCAGTTATAATATCTTATAAATATATAATTTTAATAAAAACATTAAATAAAAAATTACAAGATAATATAAACAGATTTTTGAAAACTTTACAATCATCTTTTCCGATATTCATTGTACAGGCAGTAAATCATTTGTCGGTCTGTTACTTTTTTTTTCCTTATTTTTTTTTAAATATCAATAATGATTTACTGAATGTGTGAGCCAATCAATAAAAAAATCTCGAATAATATGGCTGAAAGAAAATTTTGCAATAATGTGGTTGGTTTAAGAAGAATTCAGCAGCAGATTAATTGTTACAAAATATAAATCGAAATTTTCGTTATAAAGTAAGCAAAAATCAATAAAAAAGACAAAAAAACATTCCAAATATTTGAAACAGTAGGAGAAAATAATGAAATGTTAAAATAATTTCATCTGAAATTATTTTAACAGTTAAATTGTACTTCTTCTTCAGGCAATTTTTTTTTGTCTGTTTATAAAAATGAAAAATTAGAGTTTTTTAAATTAGCAACTGAATAGTGAGAACTCAGCTGAGCAAATATTACCATATTGTAATGGAAACAGCTGATATCTTTCAGGAAGCACAGCAGTTGTTTTGTAATATGACTGATAATCTTACTGATAGTTTACACTCCTTATTTCAGCTACCTTAATGATCATTTTCAAATTTCAACTTTCTCTTTTCTGTTAGTAATAAAATTAATGGAAAAAAAGTGAAGAAAATTGAACTGAACAGCAGATACTGTAAATGTTTTCAAAATTTTTTGAATTTAAAAATAACTCAAATGATAAACGGTGACATTTTCATCAGTGATTATGGAAAAAATATAAAAACAGCTCACAAATGCTCCATTTGCTAAAATTTATTAACATTTTATACTACTCCATTCACAGAAAGATTGAAAAATTATCATATTCAAATAGATGTTATATATGACAGTATCACTTTACTGATTAACTTATCGCTGTAAAAATATTATTATGTTTTGTAAACCTTCATATGAATTTTTTTTCCGAACAATGAAAGATAAGATAAAGTCTGTTTGCTCTCGAAGATAATTTTTTGTAACTTTCGCCTTCGTCATTTTTAGAAAAATTTGCGTATTTAAATTATTTGAGATTATTATTCCTTTTTTTTTTGTAGAACAATGCACCAAAACATATTGTTTTTAACAATTGTAGCAGCAATTCATATTGGTACGTTATTATTGTCTTTCACCCAAAAGTTGCATTAATTTATAGATTTTTTTTTAATAAGAAAAATATATGTTACAGTTCATTTTATAAATTTATAGTTTAATTTCGAAAAATTCAATTACATAATGTAATTTTAGTATCTCAAAATTAATTTTCTTCTCTTTTATTACATCTGTAATTTCAACCCTTATTTTTACTTCATTTTATCAGTTGTAAAAACTGTAAAATTGTCAGTCTTACAGTTGAAATTTTGCATAAGATTCACTTTCCAAGTTTTTTAAATACACAAAATTTTTAACTTGAAAAATAACAAAAAAAGAAAAAGAAAAGTATTCTAAATTTTCATATTTTTTTCTAGCTGCACATAAATTTGGTTACGATGAGGATGATGGGCCTAGCACGTGGAGAGGAGTATGCCAAACTGGTAAACGTCAATCACCCGTTGATATTCGAGCATTTGAAATCGAAATTGCACTCTTAGATCCTTTACAATTTTTGAACTATGAACTTAACGGTCATATTCATTTGGCAAATAATGGACATACTGGTAAGCTGTCAACTAATTCCTCAGCATTTTCTTTCCTACTATTTTTAAATCATTTAAAACCATTTATGTGTTAGACTTTTAGAAATGAAAGTGCAATCAAAAAAAAAAAATTTAGGAATAATAGTAATTCAAAAAAAAAAAGATTTTATTAGTGTTATGTGCATAAATATAAGCAAACGAAATACCTAAAAAGTACATCATAACTCATTTTAATATATACCTGAACTTTATGAGTTTAATTGAGTGTAATGATCAACAAGTGGAAACGGTATAGGAATTCGAAAAATTAAAATCATAAAATCTGTCAGCATTCACAAGAAATTGTGTCAACATTTACGGTATTGTACAAATCCTTCCTTAGATGTATTGGAGAATTTCAACTACTATATTAAAAATTCCAATTACTTTATTAAGAATTTTAATTACTTTCTTTAACTACTGTAAATTAGGGGATAGTAT